AATTCCACGGGATTTTCCACCAGGAACAGTTGTTCCTTTGTAGTTAAAACAATAGTTTACTAATAAACTTAGCCATTTAGTAAATTCCACATTTATGGGTAGTCTTATGGTGAGCATATATGTGGCAATACACTCATTCAGTATACTGATCGTTTTACTGTAAGAATTGCACTAAATAGGCAATTCCGTCAATAAATAATTGTTTTTTGAGGAAAGAGACAATTAGTACTTGTGAAATCCCATTAACCCAAATCAATATTTCTTTGTTGTGTCCAAGGCTTCATCTCAAAGCCCAATATTTTAAAGCAGACCTGTTTTTTTTGGTCACCAGGCCACAAGCAGCCCTTTGGCTGTCCCTGTCTGGCCCGAGTGGTAGTCCTGTCCAGATTGTGATCACCTCTGAGGTCAGTGCTTCCTCTGATTTCACTGCACACCATGAGCTTCTCATAATGTGCATTAGAAGCTGCTGCAAGTCAGATAGAGCCCACCTCATTCCCTGGCTGGAGGACATCCAGTCTAACCATTCCTGGCCTATTCCTTTCATCCACTGGATTTCAGTTCCTTCATAATGGAGGCTCAGCATCACATGCAGGCATTGCCTAGGGGAGTCTGCATACAAATACAAACTGCCTAGGAACGCACAATTTTCCTGACTGATATCCACCCATCAAGGTATTTCAGCGGCAGCACCAGGATGGGTGTCAACAGTTGCACATGCGTTATGACATCTGTGGTGTGACAACTTCACGCATGCACGGTGATGTACTTCACTGCCGGTGGCCATCTTGGTGATGGACGCCAGAAAAGAAAGAAAGTGATATTGATCCGGCGGGATAAGGTATGCCGCCGGTTCCCTACTATCTCTCATGTCACTGCCGGGCTCTCGGTCCATGACCAAGTGTCCGACTTTTAAGGGGCGGTGACACCAAAATGACTGTCAGTCATTTTGGTGTTACCCCCTCGGATGGTGTCACTTGGTGCAGCCCGCATCCCCCTTGTAACGCCACGGAGGCATTTTGTTATTTGCATAACTCCTCCCGAGACTCAGCCCACTGCTTGTATCAGGTCTGAGGACTCTTAAGAGAAGTACTGAGGCCGAGTGCTGTGATGTATTCAGGAAGCTATGTAAAGCACCCTGCTGGCCCCTCCCACTAGCCGAGATCTGCCTGCATTGCATAGAGAAGCCCAGAGAAGACATCTCCAGGTCTACAATAAGGTATGTTGTGAAAATGGAAAGGCTTTATTTAAATTTATTAGCATGTTGATGGGGGGGAAAAGGAGGAACCATGGAAGGCAAAATTCAAGCAGAATAAACTTCAGCTTTGAATACACTTTAAATATCCGACAAGAAAGGTGATTTTGGAAAAGGTGACCGGCCTGTAAAGTAAATGTGATATTCACTGGCCACACTGATCAATGTTTTCATACGACCCTATACAATATGGACTGTGGGTCTGCAAATCTAATGTAGGATCAGGCAGCTGCTGTTAAGAATACATTTTCAGGTGGCACAATATGCCTGTACGTAGCCAGTTCTACCATGTTGTTCCCCGTCATGCTCTTCTCACCCTCTCCCAACGTGTGGCAATAGCATGCTCTGCATTCCTTCCATCCAGATTATTTTCTCAGCTACAAGTTCCAGCTCGGCAGACTGCATCCTAATTACAGGGGAATTTCTGTTGTATAAACTGCAAAATAAGAGCGCTGCCTTTATTTCCCCCAAACGTTTGAAGATGTTTAAGGGGAAGAGGCCGTTACGCATACCGAAAAGGACGACACCGAGGAGAAGAAAAAGACGCGGCATGTAAGGGCGCAATTCAAAAAGTCCTTCGGTGTTACGGTTATGAAGATTATATGATGGGTATAAATCACTTCTAAGTCCCAGAATCACTTCCATGTTTCATGAAGACTTTAAGGGTGATCACGGAGGGGAAGATGAACGAGGAAAAGAGTTATGACGGATGAAGAGAGAAGGGCAAATCTTGATAAAGTTACACATTGCCAGGATCGGCCATAACGTCTTCCCAGTTTGGTTAATGGTATGGCACATGTGTGGTAAAACGGTTCCTCTCCCTTCTCTATAGAGAAGGGAATGACTGTGGATCAGTTGCATAAAAATTAGTTATCAATTCTGACACTTGTTACTTCTCACTAGTTCACTCTGTCATTGTCTGACTGTGACAGTGCTTACATCTGTCACATTGGTTGCTCTTACTGGGCTGTGATTCATCACTTTAAGGGCCCGTTCACACCAGACAAAATGCGTTCCAACCCAATTCTGGCCTGAAAGCACTGCGGCTGGCTCACTTTGTTGTTGGGTGGGAGGGGGCAGGGCAGGGCAGTGCATTGAAGTGAATGGCACCGCAGCTATGGCCTCCGGCTGCAAGGGAACGCGTGGCACATCAATGCCTGCATTCCGGTCTGTTCCAGCCCAGTCCTGTCAGAAAAAATAGTGCTTGCATCATTTTTCTGACCGGAACGGATCGCAGGCATTGATGTGCCTTACGTTCCTGTGCGGCCTATCGCATTGCAGCTGGAGGGAGTGGCTGCGGTGCCATTGAGTGCAATGGACCGCCACGCCCCCTTCCGCTCCACAACAAAGATTTGGGCCGGAAACGCACTGAAGATGGTGTGAACTAGCCCTTAAGCTCATCTCTAGGTAAAACTAGCAAAGTATAGAAAGCAGCCGTGGATACAGTAAGCAAGCCTGTCCTATGAATGCATGCTGAAGAGAAAGACTATGTGCGGAAGCAGTGGTATCTCTGCAGAGGAAGAGGTAATGAGGTCACCAGCAGACCAAGGTCCACTTTATCAATACGTCTTTAATTGATATTTAGATCTTCAGTGCGTTCCGGCCCGATTCTTTGTTTTCGGGCGGGAGGAGGCGTGGTGGTCCATTGAACTCAATTGCACCGTGGCCACGCCCTCCGGCTGCAATGCGATTGGCCGCACAGCTACGCAAGGCACAACATGCCTGCAGTCCGTTCCGGTCAGAAAAAATGCTGCACTATTTTTTGTCAGGGTGTCACAAGTAAGTTCAACGCATATTTCGAAACCAAATGGAATGCCTTCATTATGCAAAGCAAATTAGTAAACAATACATGAGATTGTAGTCCATCCCGGGAGTGAGCTTGGAATGGTGACTACTTTACAACACACACAGGGACCATGGGGAACAGAAGTAGCCACCCTCCAGAAGGAAGGAAGGACAGTGCCAGCGCCAATTCAGAGCTGATTTGAAGATCTACAGCCGAGTGATACACATGTAAGGTACATTATTGTTAGTAGTTAAGGTACCTGAATGTATTTTTAAGATTTAACTCCTGAGTTTAGTGTCAGTTTAAAGTCGCAGATCACGTTAAAGATCACACTGGCTGTAATGAAACACTGGAGTAAATTCTGTCCATAACACAAGGCAAGGAAAGATTGACAGCCGGAGAAACGATGTTATAAATCATACATGGCTGAACTAATGATACAAGGTCAAGCCGCAAGAAGACATAAATCTAATACTAAAATACCAAGAGAAACATTGGGCCTGGGGGGGTAAGGGAAGGAAAGCCGAGGGTTTGCCTGTGGCTGCCACATTCAAGCTGTCACTTTTTTTAGTGTAGTGTAAGAAATTAAATCCCCATCTGGGCAAAACAGACACATTCCCGTTCCTCCAGGTCTCATGAATCAGTCTGTTGTAAAATAGTTATAAATTCACAGAGGAGTCTTATTACTGTATGAAAAACAAGAACTTTAATGGTAAAAGGATTACAAATCTACTTCAGGTGAAATCCAAAACTGCCAGTAAAAATGCTTACAGGAAACCCATCCTACCTGCTTATGGGTTCCATTGATGTGTCAGTGTAATCGTCAAGCCACCCAATAGTAACCCCTTCATGAGTGATTCTACAATCTATGACCGGGGAGTCCCCTCTGGTAGAATAGTTTAGTTTACTTTCCAAAAGCGCAGATTTTTTGTTGCAATCAGAATATATACTCCACAACACTCTATTATAGACACTGTACATTACTTTGCAATACGGCTCCATGTACACTATGCTGTACATTATATACTCCACACTGCTCCACTCTGTACACTATGCTGCAAATTAGGGATGCAACGATACTAGTATTTTGGTATCGAGTAGCGATATTTTTTTTCCGGTATTCACTGATACCGAATGCCGAGTACTGGAAGTCCCATTCAAGAAGCCAGACGGCCTGTAATGACTCGCCACCCGGCTTCCCGATTAGCAGGGAAGTCGCCCCCATGCTTCTCATGAAGCCGGCTTTCTGGCCAATCAGGAAGCCGGGCGCTGTGTAATGACATTATATACTCCATCCTGCTGCACTCTGTACACTATGCTGTACATTATAGAATTCATACAGCTGCACTCGGTACACTATGCTGTACAACAAAAACGCACACAAAATCGCCGTCGCCTAGGTGTGGACGGAGTCTTATTTTCTTTTGATACCATAATTGGGGGGTAAATGTTTTAGTCCATAATGAGAACAAAAGATATTTAAAATAAGGGCAATGCGATGAAAGTGATATTGTCAACCACACAGCTGACTCCCTGTCCAAACATCTCATAAGAGAAAACATTGCCAATGTATTATGTCCATTAGCCCAACACGGCAGCTAGTAAAGCAACTGGCAAAGTTACGATTGTATCTGTTGTGTACGGTTGGTTATTTTTATATTTCAGCTAGATTGTAGGGATTTCACCTAAATTTACTGGCCCTTTAAAGAAAACACAACCGATGAGTCGTAAACAGGACGCAGACATTCCCCTTGTGTGTTCATTTCAGATGTCCGTATTGACTCATTATAGGATGAAGAATTCATAAAATCCCTCCTAAGCTGACAAAGCTTCAGATTACTGAGCCCCCCACTGTGGGATTGTCAGTGCAGATGGAAGCCACATCAAAGCATCTCATCTACCAGCAATGTCCAAATAATAACACCCCCCCCCCCCCCCCTCCAATTGTCTCCCTCTCCTTACCTCCATTCTTAGCAATTGTCCTGAAGCATCTCCAGAAGAGTCGTAGGAAGGACGTCCGGTTATGAGGGGTGCACTGCACGAAGGAGTATTCTCTGAAAAGGACATGGGTGCCCTGAGATACACTGGTGAAACTACGGGGATAGAGAACAGACGCAGGTTACACGATGATACAAAAAAACTTTATTCAACTGCTTCAAGTATTTGTGAAGTCAGTAAAAGCAAAGGACAGTATACTATCCAAATTATTGGTTTATTTCCCACAGTCACATGACCACACTGACCCTCTTCCTTTCCAAAGTTAGGGAGCATGTCTCCATTGCCTGAGAACAGGCAGCCGGGTGAGCCACAGTCAGGCAAGTACAGCAGGGCTGGCTGGAGAAAGTGTTTGTAGACCAAATCAGGAGAGCCTTGGGGGGGGGGACGGACAACGGTGCTCCTCAATAGATATATAGAGGGGACTATTTCAACACACATTACATGGGCAGGATCCGTTGTTGTCACCATCTGGAAACCCGCCATACAGTCATCACTGATGTGCATATAGACAGGAAATGGTTTCAATAAGGCTGGAGGAGATCAGCTGCACTGAGATGCCACAAAAGATAAAATTAAGTAATTTATTCAACAATCTAAATGATATTCAATCACAGTTTACAAGTACTTTAAAGTGCAACTGAACTTTTTTCTTTCATTTCAGATACAGTAGAGAAGGATTGGGTCACCTGCCAGGTGTTTATTGCTGTCTGTGTCCCCATTAGGGAGATTCATCCCCTCTATTTGTCCTGGTGACTGTTATCAATGAAAGTGAAAGAAAATCCCACATTTTGGGTTGTCATTAGAACAGGAATACATGGGAAACCTTCCAATGGGGACACTAGTTCTGGTGACCCTGCTAACCCTTCACTTTGGGGGGATTTGCTCTCACTTACCGTTGTGGCTATCAGACAGGTAGTGAGAGGAAATCTTCCCAATGGGACACAGATGGCAAAAAAATACTGACCGGATTATAACCCTCCCTCAGACTGCATTGACACCAGAGTGACAGCGTTTCAGCACTTTTTTTGTGCGTTCTCCATGCGTCTTTTACAGGTGTTTTCTGTGCATATGTAAGAGCATTTTAAAGTGCGTTTTCAGTTCATTTTCAAATGTCTTAGCTGCCAAAACGTGCAAAAAAAAGGCATGAAAAAGTTCAAAAACACGATGATCAGCTCGAAAAACGAGCTGATAAGCTCCTCAAAAGAAGCTCAAGGACTATTTTAAAACAACGGACTGGCTTATTTTTATGTGTGTTTGCGTGTATGGCCCCCTTAGGAATACATGGGATTTTGATTTTCATGCGTTTCAGCGCGGAAAGAAACACACAACGATACACCCAGGTGTGAACTCTATCCACAACTATTAAAAAAGTTTTGTCTTCATTTCTACCTTAACACAATGCAATTCTGCTATACTGACTGATTGGCTACGAGTATTTCTCTCTTTTCATCACACTGGTAAGTGATTGTAAGTTCCCATTTCTCTGATCCTCTCCATAAAATATAAAAAAATATGTATAAAAATGTAATGCAATTCTGGAACCTATGCAAGGGGGTTGATAAAATAAGGAATAGGGTAGTGTCTTCCTTTAAGACTGATACACCTTCATCGTTTGACTTGCAAGGGTTGTTATTAGATCAGTGGAGCGGCTTTGGCACACAGTGTACATGAGCCAGACATTCAATGCCAGATCTGTACTTTGGACAGGAATTTCAGCTTTTCCTTCCTAAGATCTGCCTGCCAAACACAGGAGTTACCCCGATTATCAGCAAACGTACATGTGGAATACAATTCCTAGACACCTGCGTGGCTCGGGCCCCAGAGATACGCAGTGCACTGCAAAAGGAGGACAGAAAATAAAAGCAGTGCGAGTACAACGTGCCCTGTGCAGCTACCAGTGCCCCGGGCGTAGGAACGCCTTTTCAAAAAGCTCCATTGTCTCCCAGTGTTTTGAAATTAGGAGTGGGCGCTCTGCCAGGGCGAGGAGAATCGTTTAAGCAATCCCAGGAACCTGTAGACATGTAACATAAAAGGTCATGGGATGCCAGGTACCGAGTCTTACTCAAACCTCTGCGCCAAGCCAACAAGTCTTGACTATTTCTCCCAACAGAAAATGGGCGTTCAGCCGCCGGTTCCCCACTCCAGAAGGAACGATCAACATGGAGATACAAAGCGCAGCAAATTGTCATGAGACTGAAACAAAACAAGGACACCGCACAAAATAACAAAGACGCGGCGATCAAAGACTTCGCGCCGGGAAGACAATCGATAATTCATGCGCTATAAACACAACACAGCAGCTTATGGTAGATGGGAAAATAATTCTCATCCACATGAATGGCCAATATTTAAGGCACATCCGCCACAAATATACATTGTAATTATTAGAAGTATTTCTATAGTGCCGACGATTTACGCAGCGCTTTACATACTGCACATCAGTCCCTGCTTGTCAAGAAGCTTACAGTCTGAGGTCCCTATCCCACAAACATACTAGGGCCAATTTAGACAGCAGCCAATTAACCTTCCAGCATGTCTTTTGGAGGGTGGGAGGAAACCCACACAAGCACAGGGAGAACATGCAAACTCCTTACAGATAGTGTCCTGACTGGGATTCAGTCCAGGGAACCCCCAGAGCTGCAAGGCAGAAGCGCTAACCGCTAAGCCACTGAGCTGCCTATTGGAGAATATTTCCACCAATTCCTTTTAATGTGGCTCACTATATATTTAAAAATTCAAAAAAATAAAAACATAAACAAATGACATGTATGATGCAGTCTTACATAACCTTTTATGTAGCTGCAAGGACATGCTAAAGAATGGCAGCTCTGAGTCTGCTGGGGCTGCTAACATTAAATCCAAGATGGCAGCACCCAGCAGCTGTCTCAGGGCTTTTGGATGTCTACACAAGGATTACTTCTACAGGTAAATGCCTAACATAAGTTAAAGGAGAACTATGAGGTGAGTGATATCCACTCATCCTTATAGTTAGAGCCGACCTGTGACAAAGAAGCTGTCACAGGTCGGCTCTACTGATCGGGAAGTGAGCAGAAACATGCCGCTGATCCGCTCACTTCCCGATTGTCTCCCTGCAGTGAGCGGTGACTGTCAGCTTCCCATCCAATCAGCATCGAGCTGGCCAAACAGACGGGTCTATGCCGATTAGCTGGGAAGCCAGCATCCCGGCCAGTCAGTATCGATTCAGCCAAAACAGGAGCCAGCTTCCCAGCCAGTCAGGAAGGTGGGCAATGTCCCGCCACCTTGCTTCCTGATTGGCCAAAAAGTCAGCTCGATCCTGATTGACCATAAGCCACCTCCATGCTAGCGGAAGTACCGGTATCAGTACTCTTTATCGGCGAGTACCTAAATATACTCGATACCAAAAAAACGGTATTGGTGCATCCCTAAAACAGGGTGTATTAAAGTGTAAAGCAAAAATGTACAGAATAAAAAAAACATGTGTTAGTACCAGTATGAACTATAGTGCGCATACCAAAATGAGAAAGTAGGGTAAGAAGATATAGAGGGCAAAAGTAAAAAAAAATCTTAACTGGCAGAAAGTAATCCATAGATTAAATTGGAAAAGGAAGTAGAAGCAACAGGCCCAAGATAGAAGAAACTAGTAAGTATTAAAGAGAAAAAGAAAAGATGAGGAGAAATACAGAGAGAGAGAGAAGTCAAGACAAAGACAAAAGAAAAGAGGACAGATAGACCAGGGGGGTGACCCAACAGGTCAATGAAAGTATCAGAGAAACTGAACATCACCCAACCAGACCAGATGTTCCTGTGAAGTTCTGTGCTGTGTTTATCTAGTTTCTAATTTTTGGTACCCACAGCGGTCGTCCTTCAGCAGCTTATCACTGCACAGGAAATATCTTCACTATCAATGGCATGATTGCACAGTCTATACAGGGAGCCGCAGACATTGTGAGATACCAGAAAGTGAGATCTGGCTGCTGTGCCAGTCTGCTTGGGAGACATTTCCCACTAAACATTAACTTGAAGCTTGAATTTGTACAAGTGATTACAGAAACTACCTTATATTTAAAGGCTCGCTGTGTCTCAAATACATGACTTGCTTATCCACAGATTATTGCTTTCATGAGTATGTACTGTAAGCTGGTATACAACAGTAATTGTGTTTCTGTCCAACTATTGCCAACAAGGAAAAAATATTCTAACAGATTCCTCTATCCATGTTAAACTGCATGGATGGAGGAACCAACCGGCTGCAGCTATTGTACGTTGGCAGTTGGTCCCACCGGCTGCCAAAATACCTGAACAGTGTCTGTTCGGCCAACAATTGAGGATTCAAAGGTTTTCAGAGGTAAGCTGGCAGACAGGGCCACCCACTGAGCAAATTTTGGAAACAGCAAGATTTTGCTTGGTGTGTAGCCAGCTTAAGAATGAGCTCTCAACAGTCCCTCATTTGGAGGGACTGTTCCTATTTGACACCAAATCAATCTGATCTATTTCAGTTGTCTCTCTTTTTGTTTTGATGTGTAGACATCTTTATAAGCATTAAAAGAAATGGTGACACTACATCTTATCCAAACTTGAAATCTAGGACATCCCTATTGACATTCTGTTGATGTGTGACCAAAACTAGACTGTATGCTCAAGAAAAGGGCCAAACTGGTGTTTTGTAAATGGGTAAGCGTATCTTGAATAAGTACCACTTTTAATGCATGAGAGTAAGTCTGTAGTTCCCTAGGACCCCTAAATCTTTTTCCAACTCTGATTCTCCCAGTGTAGCCCATCTTAATCAGTAACTTGCCTGCAAACGTTTAGCACCCGAATACATAAATTTGCATTTTAACCTATTCTTTTTCCACCAAGGTTCTGTGAAGCCCTTGGGTTTCTCCAGAGGTTGCCGGGGTTTACTTCTCAGTCACATGCCAGCTCTAAGTAAATTTTTATCTCCCATTACTTTGACCGTAACTTTTTATTTTCACTAAATATGGTTTATTACATTTTATTTTAAAGATTACAAAAAATAAAAGCGCGATGGGGCCAGTTCCTTACGGGATAGATGCTTTTCCTTGCTACACTCCTTACCGAAAGTCCCTTGTAATGGGAGGGTGCTCGCAGTGAC